ACAGACAGACAGATACAACGTAGAACTTCGTAACATAAGTACAACAGTTCAGGTTGCCATACCACATTAGCACAGAGACGCAACTGTCAGTTCAAATCCAACAGTGATAGCGATAGTAGAAAGTGTTAGCAGTAATGAAGAAGATTAGAGAGCGAAGTTATGATTCGAGAAATCTAATCCAGTGAGATAACTTTAGAAGGAGAAATATAGAGGTGATGAGGAATTCAGAATATTAGAATTTCAGAAGACACAAAGAATGGATGTACCTGCACCATTGCAAACGATTCCAAGTCATGTCATTCAAGGTCTCTAACCATTGGTGACTTTCGTCTCGCGGACCCCTACCAGGTGATAATCTAGGAGAAACGTCTACCTTGGTTTTAAAACCCGGGGAATACCTCAGCACCCACACTAGAAACGATAATTCGCGGTGAAGAAAATGAACTTGACACGACCAGCTGCTTATGTTTATGATTTATAGGACTATCAATTACAGATAATACAATAAGAAGCTTATTTAAAATAATGGAGATTAGTTTTACTGATGGTGATGAGTTCAACTTGACTAAGCTAATCTACAGATAAACTGCCTGACCTAGTATAAGAGGGTTAGGGTATACGTGACCAAACTTTGTTTCGGGGTTTATTTTGTTGGTAAGCACTAGCTGTTCTTATTTGAATTGTAGCAGCGTAGTTTGATTAACGTTTGCCCTATGCTGTTACACTATTTTCAAAAACTTTGTTCAAACAACTACTATAATTTTAAAAGTAAGGAAGATTTTATCGAAAATATCCACATTTTAAGGATTATAAGTTTGTGACCGACTGAAAAATTAAGCCAATTAGAAACACAACAATAATTGAGTAAAATCAAATTTTTTTAAAAAAAGTAAAATGTTTTTACTAACTTTACGGCGAGAACGCTTTGACAGCTTTTCTAGCTCACATGTTGCCCTCTGAAGTTCACTTTTTGCTCGACGCCACTCTTTCCCATTTTCTCGATCTAATTGAGCTACTGAACGTTTCCATTCTTCAAGACGATCGATAAGCGGAGCAGTTAGGCACTCAGTGAGTTGGCTAGATTTTAAAAAAAGATGGAATTATTCCATGAAAAAAGTCGTACGAATTTGTTTTAAGTAGGAAACAAGGAATATAAGCCTGGAGCCTTGCCTCTCTAGGGTAACTGCTGATCTCAAGCTCGAATAAAGGAGGATTTTACATGCGGTTAGATACTTTGTCTCATAATAAGTAACCTTGCTAACCGAGAATAAATATTTAGACTGTTTAAACTCTACTCTTTAAATCAAAAGGTCTTCATAGAGAAGAAATGATGTCTTACGGTAAAAATGAAGATTTGTTGGAAAGCAAGAGCTGGACGATCCTTCCGAAAACAAGGGTAACAATTATTATTGGCAGAAAAATGTCTGGGAAATTTGGGAAAAGCCCAGGACAGAGCTGGCTGAAGATTTCTAGTTTAATCAAGTACGTAAACAAATGACTTAAAGATTGTGTACAGATGATTTAAGAGCTTGTATAAAGTAATAATATTACCCCATTAAGTGACTGCAAGCAGACTGTTGAATTGTACCGTTTACAATGACTGGAGCAGCGTATCCGTAAAAATATCTTTGACAGCAAAGCTGAGTAAACCAGAATGAAATACCATTTGATTTCTTCATGCGCAAAATAGGTAGCATTAATATGTGCATAAATTATAGACTTAAGAAACTGTCAGTTGTTGCCCAGTAAGTAGCATAAGATACAATGCAACTTTATTCGCTGCACTACGTATAGTAGTTAGATTATGAAATGACTACTACCTTTTTGCGACAGTAAAATGAACTACCCTTTTTTTACCTGAGATCAGATTTGACGGACTGAGCCTAACATACGACCACGCACATATCAATATTCAAAGCACTACCACTGTCTTAGTTGGTTGAATATGAGCTGAGGTCTTACGAGTAATTTCAAAAAAATGCAAGCCTTTGAAAATAATAACTAGAACAATAGAAACACACATATGATCTACTTTCAACGTGTATTTGGACCCTCCACTAACTGATTTTCTCATCTAGTAATCCATTTTTTGAATAAAGCTTGCATGAAAGGTTGGGAGCAATCATGTAGTGATATAAAGTAAAACGGAACAGACTTTCAGTAGATAACTCCATAAACAAATCAACAAAAAGAAAAGCTCAAACATAAAATGAATGGCAAAATTACCTGTTAAAAGTGCGTAGTCTAGATTCCAGTCCTCGTTCACGTAAACAGAATCGAGTCATTGAAGAACCCAGATCTTTTAAACCACAATTACTGCCGTATGCACAATCAGCTATTTTTTGGAATGCTTCTAGAAATCCACCGATACACTGAATTACGGTTCTTGACAAAAATATAAAAAAAGACGTTACAATTATTAGATCAGAGTAACTACTTCCTCATATAAGTTGAAATAAATATGGAAATGCAATCACATACATTGTTCTGAATGAGAAACAGAACAAATATGTGATCTAATTGACAGAGGAATGTTTTGACATCTAGAGCGAAACTCAACTAAAAAAAAAACTTGATGAAACCCAAAACAGAGAGCATAATTACTTTAACCAGATGAATTTCACTAAATAATTTAGGATAACCAGTTATTTTACGATCCATTGGATGTTTAGCCTACTTAACAATTGAAAGGTTTAACTAACTGACAAAACCTAATTTTAATTTCTGTACATATGAATGAAGGCATGTACAGTACAGTTTATGATGTGGATTTGTGGGCAGCAAAACAATTTTGGTGGCACTGTTATGTAACCCACTTGCTAAGATCGACTTTATGAACTAAATTTGCAATCATTATATGTCGACTTCCCTACGCTTAATATTTTTAGAGCGATATTAGCTAACCAGGACCTATTTTGCAGCTAGAGGTGAGGATCAAAAGATAGGTGAACATTACACTCGACATGTGCCACTAGTTTGCAAGCATGTCTGCCACAAAAGTAAGTGGACAAATATCATTTCAATATGTAAATGTATTCTGAATTACACAACCACGACTTTGAAAAACTAAATATCCCAAGTTATAAGAGTTTAAATGCCTTCAACATGAACTAAAATATATTTACTAGCAACTTACTTTAAAGAAGCACTCAACTTTGAGGTCTTGTTTATCATATCCTCCCATAATCCTAAAGAGTTCTGTAATAAAATTAATATTATGTTTCTTCAGATCACCTTCAAACCCGCGAGCTGAGAATTGAAATTAAGAGAACATGGAGGAAGTCTATTGAGCTGATCTTGCCTTATTCGTTCCTGCAAAACGTAAGCAAGCATAAGAATGTTAGTAACATTTTTCTCGATTACTTTATTTTTTAAAATTTGGATGTATACTGATAATCAAACAAACTTACCATGACCACAACCAAAAGACCGCATTAAATCTGTCTCAAAATCAGCGCTCCAATGAGTTAAGTTATATTAGCACATTGCGTTACAACTTCATCGGAAAACGTATTTAAGTTTCAAAACTGTGAGTTAATTAAAGGTTCACCGTTAAAAGTAATAACTTTATTTATACCAAATACAGCTATATAACGTTTATTTTGAAGTCAATGGACTCATTTGCTCTTCTTTGTATAAATGGTTTTACACTTCGTTATACAAAAAACATACAGTAACTTCCCTAAAATCTAATGTTAAGTCATCGCATATAAAATAGAGATATTTTTCTCTAAAAATTCAGTATCGTTTGGAAATAATGACACATAACTGTTTCCGAGTGACTCAACCAACATTTTATCGTTTTTATGGGCTTTTCGCCTAGTATGAATTGGATTTTAAGTGCAAAATGTTTGGACTGAGAGATTTTCGAGGCTTAAAGTCATTTGAACATTTGAAAATCATATCGCTGTTTTAACTTCAAGGATGATGACAATGGTGGATGGACTGTGAAACGTAGGTGGTTTATTGAAACATTTCACATAAACTCGCCGTAAAGATGGAGTTAGTCAATTTTAGGGAGTGGATGGGTCCTTTGAACTTCCGAACTGCAGTGCTCAGCTAGTTATAAGTTAGGCTGTATGAGGCAGATGGCAGTTGATTCTATAATTCGATAAACACGAAACGGCACTCCCAAACTAGAAAGTAAGGGTCCTGATTAAAATCATTTACAGAAAATCATATAGTTAAATTTATCTCATTATCTAAAAATTATTATTGTCTAGGCTATGATAATGACTGGTTCTAACGAGTTATAGCTATTTTGATGTACACCTGGACTGTAATCTACCTGTTACGACTAAATTTCAACCTCCTGGTGTAGGTATTTGACACACATGATCTATTGGTTAGTTGAAGGTGTCTAGCAGGATGTCAAGGGGAAGATTTGTGCATGTTGATGTGCGATCTGGGGCAAGCCATTTGCTTTTCTGATTCCAATGGCGTAATCAACTATCTCCTCTTACCTCTACTTGGTACATGACGCGACCAACTCTTCTGACCATTCGCGATTCTGTCCAAGGACCATGGTTTGTTTTGTTGTCACGGGAAAACACAGGACATTCCACTCCGTAGAACAGTTGCCGTTCCGACTTTGTCTGTACCGGTGTTGATGCAATACTAGGATGCATCAGGCTGTGGATAGTTTTCAGACTTCTTCCCATCAGGATTTCCGCTGGGGACTTTTGCTCCGGTAACAACTCATATGATGTTGTTCCATAAACGTGCAAGAAATTTTGTGACGCGTCGGCTGGTGTCCCCTCCCCTTTTGACTTAACCAATACTCTTTTAAACGTACCCACAAACCTTCCCGCTTGCCCATTCGATTGCGGGTGGTATGGTGGCGAGCGTAGGTGTTTGATGGCTAGCCGTTAACTGAAAGTTTGAAACTGAGTAAAGGTAAACTGAGACCCATTGTTAGATACGATTATATCTGGCATGCCATTTCGAGAGAAAATTTCGGTGAGGAGCTGAACTGTCTTGGTTGTCGTGAGCGTCATTACAGGGTTCATCGATGGCTATTTTGAAAGGGTGTCCACCACAACTATATGCAAATGTACATTAATCGGGCCCGCGAAGTCGACGTGTATCTTGGGCTGAGGGTGATCTGGCTGTGGCCACGAAACCGGCGGAACTGTGGCATTCAGCTTTGCCGCTTGCTGATACTGCATGCAATTTTCAGCCGACTCGGTGATGCGTTGATCCATGAGAGGCCAGTGTGCATAACTTCTGGCTATGGATTTTGTTCGTCTAACCTCTGGATGACCAAAATGGGTCTGTTCCAGCACCCTTGCATGAAGGGATTCTGGCACAACCACTCTTTCTCTAATCATCAAAGAGTCGTTTACAATTTATAGTGAATCCCGCCGCTGATACGGTTGCTTCATGTCACCATCAACCTTCTTAGACGGCCACTTGATCATTGATGAGTCGTGACAAAGCATCTACCTGCCCGAACTGTAGAGTGTGTCGGGAATGCATTTCGAAATCATACCCCAAAAGGCTGAAATGTCAGATTTTGGACCGAATATTAATAGCAGAGGCTTGTAACCTGTGAGAAGCGTGAATATCCAACCGTACAGAAACTTGTGAAAATGGCTCACAGCAAACACAAGGGCAAAAGCCTCTTTCTATATCTGACTGAATTTCTTTCCTGTTGTTGTTAGTGTGCGGGATACATGCATAACCGCTTTTACTGACGCGTCAGGGAACTGATGTAAAATAACAGCACCTAAGCCATACGCTCTGAGTCGGAGTTGCCATTGATACATGGATACAAACTTTTGAAGAATAATGTATTCCTAGATCTAACGTCAACACTAACTAACTACTTGAGAGACATGGCAAGGATGGAAGAGGAAGTGTGATTTTGGCAAGGAATAGTAATTGTAAACACTCATTTTTGTATACAGTCTTCTCCCTATGAAATGAACCCAATACTTGACAATTAATGTGCAACCATCCTTCCGGATATTTCCCATTGTCACCACATGACCTGTCAATTGGCTACTTTTCGTTACCTCATTATATCTACCCTGCTCAGATCGTATTCAAAAAACATTTAAGTTAGTTTAAATGTTCAGAATTTATTATTTCTCCACGAGGTAGAATGGGCCGATTGATTTCTTGCACTCGATTCTTCTCATTTTGGTACGGTCCCAGGTATACGGTGGTGTACGATGGATGGTTATCTAGCCTCTGCACTACACTAATTGCAGTCTCTTACTTGTGAATTTGTATGTCCGGTGACTTGGATAAGAATGTTTGTCTCGGGGCAGTAGGGTTTCTGGATGCCTGCAGCTATGAAATTACCAGACCGGAGAATGATAAGGAGGGAATTCTAATGATAATAAGATTTCAGAACTAAGTAAATAAATGGATAATTTAGTTTAATAATTGGTAGTAAGATTGTTCCAGAGGACCGAAGTGTAAGCAAGGGAGGATAAACAGAGATAATAAGCGAGATAGATTAAGTTAGTGATCTGAGTAGATGGCAATTACAACAACTAGCAGGTCTCGAGAAATGAGTCAGGCACAACTTGTCTGCGAAGCAGATGAGAATCCGTATCTGAGTACGCGTTTATAAAGTCTCTTCTCAAAGCTATCCACTGAGGGGGCAATGCTCACCTCGACTAGGAGAGCATCCCGAGTTGCAACGACTCTCAAAGAGAAAAATTATGCACGGACCTAGATTTTTGTTCTTTGATGAGCAATTTTTCGAGGATTACCTTGAAGAGAGTAGTGGTAAAGAGTCGGTAAGGTGATCATATTGGGACGGTTTGGCGTGCTCAAAATGTTGTAGGCCATAAACGGATCACTTCTGATTCTCCAGTTACTCAGGAAGATTATTTCTGAGTGCTAAAGTCTATCTGTTTTGTTTCTCAACCGTATCACGCGTTTCTTTGCTCGCGTCAGCACTCGTTGCATGAGATTTATGTCCCTTTTATGGAGAGGGGTATGACGACGTTGTCGAACTCAAGCTGTAGGCGTGCCTATGTAATACACAACATTAAAATTATTGCCAGGTGATATCACGATGTTGTCCTGCATAAAATAAAGATTTGCATTTGTATGTGCTGCGTCCACCATATAGTTCGAGCTGGAGTGTAGGATTTCTGTGGTTATTAAAACGAGACCGAGGTGTAAGGAGAAATAAGGAAGAGGAATTCTAGTGAGGGCGCGAATCGTTTGCGTCAGGTTGCAAAGAATATACGTAATGTGAAAATTAAGTCGGACTGAGTTTCAAAACGTTTTTCACCTTCTTTTACACAATGGCTGTAAGGGCGATTTGAAGCAGAGTCAAAACCTCTTCGGGTCTAGTGTGTTAAGTCCAAGTTTTGCTCCTTCCCGTTATTAAAGTACAGTATGTCGATCTATTTTCAATTCACGAACCCAAATTAACAACAGAACTAGACTCCAAAGTTAGGCAACAAAGTCTATTCACAATTCACAAATAGTCAACCAAAATGTCGTTCTAACAACAATAATTATAATAACTACAAAAACCTTCAATTTTATAGGTTCCTGGAGCAAAAACTCCCAATTGGTTCTTTTCGCCGACGAAATGTGCATCACAAGCAATCAACAACAAACATTCAATATGCCGACAATCTCGTGATCCCTAGGATTTGCATCGGTACGCCTATGGATCCGAGTAGCTTTCTACCATCTACCGCTTCAAGAAGACACAGTTTACGCATATCTCTCACTAGGATCCACTTCTTCGTCCTCAGTTCTACCTGTCTCACTAGTCTATCCTTACTTGGTATCACTCTCTGTACTAGACCTAAGGGCCACTTGTTTTTCTCAGAGAAGTCAGAACATATCATTACTAAGTCACCCTCTCGTATGTTCCTCTCTAATTGTGTCCACTTGTATCTACGCTGCAACAGCAAAACATATTCCTTAGACCGACGTTTCCAAAATACTTGCGCCAAGTAACTCGCTTGCTTCCATCTCTTAGAATACCTGTCATTAGATAGAGTGTTAGTGAATTCTGCAATATTCTATCTCAATAATAATAGTTTTGCTAGTGTTATTGCATCAAGATCCTTCGAGTCGTCTGTAATGGGAACCGAAGGTCGATTGTTAACTATACGCTCCGCCTCTATCATAAAAGTTTCAAGGCATTCATCTGTTAAAATTTGTTCCTTTACAAGAGCACCCAATACCCTACGTACAGAGCGAATCATGGGCTCCCACACTCCTCCCCAATGACTAGCAGCTGGAGGATTGAAATGCCAGTCAATCCCTTTTCTTAGTAAATCAGAGTTTATGCGTTCCTGTACCCAACCTTGAAGACATTTTCTTAATTCACATTCAGCTCCCACCAAATTTAATCCATTATCACCATAAATCTCTTTTGGATAACCTCTTCTGCCGACAAATCTCATTAGTGCCATGATAAATGAGTCGGTGGTAAAACTATATGCCACCTCCAGATGCACAGCTCTCAACCT